AAAGAGCTCATGTATGTAATGATGCAGACCGTTTGAATAATTGGCTACATGCAAGGGCATTGCTAAATCTAATGGAGTGTTTTTGAAGCCAAAAATGCATGGACTATAGCCAATATTTTGTTAGACAATCGTAACTTATCAAAATCAACCAATTTCCACAAGTAAACGTATCAAGTTACGGAAATAAAATGGTCTAAATAAAAGTCATACTTTAGTTGAAGGCTGTGGAAAGAGTCCATCAAACCAAGCCTGACCAATGAACTGTGTGATGTACTCAGGCAGTGGAGTGGGAGGGGGAGGGGTCGGTGACTTGGGAGGGGGAGTTGGAGTCTTGGGAGGAGGAGGAGGAGGAGGAGTCTTTGGCTTCGGCTTAGGAGCAATGAGCTTCTCAACCTTCATTTTTGTCCTCACTTCTCTCTGAAACAGAAAAAATAATACATAACGTACAGAAGTACGTGTACATGTACATGCAGTATAGATGAAATTTATGAGTATAATACATGTACATGTATACTAGAGCATAATAATGTGTGTACTAACCACTGGGGACTCTGGTGGAGGAGGTGTTATAGGAGGAGAAGGAGAAGGGATAGAAGTGTCGTCGGCCATCATGGCAGCTCTCAGTCTATTCATTAAGTCGCTGTCTTCCTCTTCTTCCTCCTCCTCCTCTCCTTCTTGCTGCTCCAACATTAGCTGTCTCTGTTTGTCGGAAAGGGTTGGAGGTTTCCATGATTCGGCGAGCTTCCTGTCTTCATCGCTCTTTCTCAGTTTTTGTAAAAGTATAGAATTGGGTAAGTGGCAGTCAGGGGCTATTGGGTATGGTGGATCGAACTTATGCAGTGGAGGGAAGAAGCAGCGACGGGGGCCAATGGAGAATGGCTCATCTGGTGAAGACATACAGTACATGTAGAGGATGAAGAGGAGATGAGAGAGAAAGAAAACATAAAAAATTGAGAATTACATGCATCTCTATAAATAAAGTGTCTTTGGGCAAATTTTGTACATAGCAACTTTCAATTTTGATTGGAATCAGCTAAAAATTCCCACACGACATCAGTACATGTACATGCAGAAACTAAATGTATATAGTTTTGCTATTCTCACATGGTTCAATTGGTATGGGAATGAGTCCATAAGTATCAGGGTCAAAATCATCAATTTCCGAGCATTTAACCTCAGTTCCTGGTATCGGCTGTAGCAATGGATACACTTGCTTCCACGCTTGCTTCTTCTCAAAAACTGTCAATGCTGCACTCTCCTAATACCATAAAATCATCATTTTTCTCTTTAATAGTTTCTATTAACCTTATCTATTTTAGCTTTAGTGTCTCTTATGCTTTTAAGATCTTCTTCACGTGAGAGGAGCTTCATAACTGCCTCAGTTTTAAGGGCAGCTTTTCTATCAAGCTCATCCAACTCCTCCTGAGACAAGGCACCTCTATATGCTTCACTGTAAAGAGAGAGAATACACTATAATATAAAGACAAGTACTGCATACATGTACACATACACAAGCTCTTCTCTCTTTTCTCCCTTTCTTTCCCTATCTCTCGTATTCATACGCTTTAAACTCATCGCTAGGAGGATCTAGTCTTATCTGATCCTCGGGTGAAAAGGACTCTAAAGGAGCCAAGAGTTCTCTCTGAGCTTCCTCCCTCTCCTCCTCGATCCCAGCAGTGAGAGAGACTAGCTGCTTGATGTAGGCTGTAGTGAGATAGAGCATGTGGTGGAGAGAGTAAAGGTGACCCTTCATCCCAACAGTGATGTTACCAGTCTGACTACTGAAGGAGACTGAATTGGGGACAGCATCTAACTGCACTATTCTACAATAGAATAATACAAAAGTGTCATTATTATTATTACTATCATAAAACAAGGAAATATGAAGAAATAAGGCAAATGCTTCAGTGCTTGAAAAATAAGTACATGTACAGTACATGTAGTTAAAGTAAAAAATTTATCATTATTATTATTATTGTTATTTTACCTTAAGATGTTGTTGTCCTGTGACCAGACCCTCACACTCAAGTCCTTAGCACAAGAGACAAAGAGGTGAAGACGAGTGTTCACGTCTAATCCAGTGATAGGCTCACTATGACTGTGCAGTGGATTGCTAGAATAACAGGCTGAAGGAAGACATCAATATAGTCATAATAAAACAGGTACTTACTTAAGTCCAGTAGTGAGTACACAGTCAGTGCATAGTTGGCTCTGTCATAATCATTGACGCCAATGCAGAGTCTATCCAAGAGTATCGCAATGTGGGTGGGGCAACCGATGACATCAAATGACATCATCATAACGAGAGCATCTTGATTGGAGTAAGGATAAACACGCCAAATTATAATGTGCTCATCTAGGAAATAAAACAGTACATGTAACATGTACATACAGAGGCGTATTTAGGGGGGGGCTGAGGGGGCTTGAGCACCCCCCTCAGGGCTGGGCTCAGAAAAAATTACTGAAGTCCTGGACTCTTGCATCACTACCAAGCCTCTTAACAAAGTTATCTAGCCCCCTTATCATGATTTCAGCAGTTTCCAGTGCTTTAAGGAGCAATCAGAAGTACCAGTAACATGGCAGTATGCTTGAAATGATCTTGGCCCCACCCGTAATTGTCGAAAATGCAGGAAAAGGCCGTTTTACCGCCGTAAAAGTGGGTGTGGCCAAAATCGCAGCGCGCTTCACGCGCCCTTAGCACCTCCCTTCTCCAATTCCTAGATACGCCCCTGTACATACATGTATATACATGTGGACTTTATGCATGTATACATACATACATGTACGTGTGCATGTACATGTACACAGCTAACCTTTAAAAGCAGTGATGATATTCTGTCTCTTTGGATTACAGGCTATGAAGGATACTGGTGACTCATGATCCTACAGTACATGTACATGTACATGTATAATAATAACACTGTACTGTACTTTGACTGAGTATAATATGCTTCCATTGGTTTGATCCAGGACAGCAATGTAGCCCTCGTCTGTCCCTGCTAGCAGGAGGTAGAGCCCCCGTCTCTCCTTATACAACGGCTTCTCCTCCTCGTAGGGTGAGTTCTTGTGGGCTTCAATTAGAACTGACAGCCAACGATCCTCCGACTGTAATTCCTCCAACTCTTCCTGTATAATGAATGCAAGAAATAAAATGTGAGCTTTCAACTTTATTTTTAATCTTTCAATCTCTCTAGACCTTACAGCATCCAGCGTTAGTTCATATAATGATAGACAGGTGTAGTTCCCTAGTGAAGTGTTGGGCTCCCAAACGGACTGACAGGTGCATGGATTAGTGGTACAATCGTATACCATGATGGTACCATCTTCAGTTAATATGAACATAGTTTCTAAAAGCAAAGAGAACAATGTAATAAAACTGATACAAGTAATGCCTCCTTTCTTTCTTTCTTTCCTCACCATCAAATGCTTTATAAACAGTATTAAGTATGATAGAAGAGTGATGAAGGAGTGAAGTGGTCAGTATAGACCCACTGACAGGGGATACTAGTCTTACTGCTCCATCAGAGCAAGCAGCAACCAATCTCAATGGAACAAGTGGATGAGAAGTAGCATGGAGCTCAATAACATCAGAACTACAGTGTACAATGTATTTTGAATTTAAGTTAGGGACTGCTTGTGAGTCTTACCCAATGGTAGTCAGTTTCTTATAGAGCTCATTAATATTCCAATGGAAGAGTTTCTTTGTCGAATAAGATATGACAGTATTGCAACCAGGCTGTGACACTAGGCCCTGTACTGGAACACTGTGATCCAGTGTCTGAACTAGATCCAGTCCTTTGAGACTCCATATCTTCATGGTGCTGTCCAGTGACCCACTGATGACTAACGGGCCACTGGAATATGGACACAAAGAAGTTACTGGGCCCTCGTGGCCTATGAAACTACATATTTGCTCCCATTGCTGGCTCCAGACTTTAACTAGAAGAACTGTAAGTAATAGAAGGATGTTATAAGGTAGTACTTGATCCATCTCTTGCTCCTGTGATGATGTACTGCAAAGGGTGAAAGAAGAGGAGAGATGATATTGGCCGAGAGTGAAGATCTGTAGCTTCTTTTAGTAAGCGTCCGGTAACCAAATGATACACCTACATGTGCAAACAGTGTATTAGCCATTGTCTCTCTTCATCATTTACCTTTACTGATGATCGTACAGATACAAAGCATCTTTGTGCATTTCCAGGGACATGCTCGAGATGAATGATGCCAACACTGTCATCCTCACTGATCCCAGCATCAATGACATGACTGATTGAGAGGGTCTTACCACCATGATGAAATGACCAGCACTACATGATTGAGAAAAAGCAATGACACCTTAAACCTTATCCATGCACAAGACAGTAGAGTAATATGCATGGCATTTTGCTACATAAAATACATTATTTTTTATTAATCTTCTTACGTACAGTTATGCTTCCTTTCTCAGATGTAATGATATCACCAGAGCATGGATTATAGAGGCAACTGTGTTAAGAGAAAGAGAGCTAGTGTCAAAGTGTGTCAGCAGGTTAGCAACATGCTGATCATGTCATGTTAGTCACAACTCACTCACTTGATTATTGGGTTTTTACTGTTCGTTTCAAAAAAAGGCTTAAAGTCCTTGGTGATTATGGCTATCCTGTGCCTCCCAACGGCCACAAATACTTCAAACTGGCTCACATGAAGCAAAGACTTGGTATCACCATTGAAGGTATAATTTAAGCCCTTGGATCCGGCAACGAAAACACTTACACTCTCCTCGTGAAAGACAGTGCAGGTCTGGGACTCGGGCTGGTAGACTACAGAGAGTATTTTACCATCCAACCTGTGAGAGGAGGAGGACAAGAGGCCCTGCTTTAGCACCAGCCCAGTCGTCCCGGCCGCCATGTTGGATTGTTATGCGATCATGTTGCCACGACAACATCGATCACCTCCGTAAATTTTATTTAGTCTATACACAATCCGGATATTTTAAAGTTTATTTTCCGTGAACGTCAGTACACTCGCTAAATAATAATTATTATAATTATAATTATTTTAAAAATTTTATTTTCCTTTCTTCTTCTGTTCAGGTGGTGGTAGTGGGCCTGGTGTCCAAATCTCAGGAGTCTTATGATGACTGTTAAATCTATGCGCATTCTTCTTTCTTTCTTTACGAGCCGCTTCAAGCATCCTCTTCTTTCTAACAGGCCACCCGGCACCATTTTCAGGCCCACCTCTTATCCTACCATAATCTCTATACTGATTTATGAGACTAAAGCTAAAAAGAATTATTATAATTAACCTTAAATAATTATTACAGCTGTGCCTAATATTAACTAAACAGCACTCATTGTACAGCTACTAATCAACTAATGTACTTGATTCTCGCACTCCTCCAGCTAAGAACGTCCCTCCTTCCAAGAGATAGCCAGGGAGAAAGAGAGACATGCAAAGACATGCTTCTAGCCACACCTCCTAGACTAATTAAAGAAGAAATTGCGTGGGATGTAAATTTTACTGGAAGCATAGCTAGCTGCATTAGGCATCTTCTATTAAATGGCGACTTTGATTTCATTTTATTCAGGGAGATCTTTGACTTTGAGATCAATTAATGTCCTTACATTAGGCTCGAGGGCTATCTCACACGAAGCACTGAAGAAAAAGAAACTGAAATTAAATCAGGTAGAATTGTGATGAAAATGGATGGAAAAATTAATAATTGCATTGTTCTACTCTGGCAGTTTGTACCAAGAGAAGTAACAGCTTTTGAGTTGTTTGCAAAGGAACAGGGAAAGCTTGACTTCGTTACAAACAAGACACACAAAGTAATGGATTTATTGTTTTCCTCTTATTGTTTTTTTTTATTTTAGAGAAAATACGCTCAATATTGCAAGCGATGGGATTTCATGTTAGATGAAGAAAAGCAGGTTAATATTATTATAAATGTGTAATGGTTATGGTTTCATTGTTATTTTACATTTAGCCTTATATTGATCAAGCTGAAGCGTTTAACGAAGCAAGATTCGATCAAACAAGAAAAGACTAAAATTATAACATCAATAAATTATAGCATAAAATTGTATCAATTTTCAGTTTCTGTAAAAACAATTCTCCGTATTCTAGATCACTTTCCTCCGTAATCCTTGCTATACCAGAGTACAGACTGTACAGTTTGCTCACCTCCGTATTCTCATCGTTTCATGGCTTTGGATTTTTCGGAGGGAGACAACAAGTATTTTTTTATTCAGGACAGGGAGGAAGAGAGCCCAGCTATGACATCTCCAAAGAGGCACAAAGGCTCCAGCTGGTTCATCTGGGACCCGTGTGGAATTGCCTGCGCAGTGGCCACGTACATATTTCTAGTCTATGGGGTCGTTGTACTTCTGGCAGTGGTCGCCCCGGCTTTTCCAGACGTCTTTACGTTTCTCTCCACCCTTGCATTCACAGGTCTAGTGACCCTCTCTGTTGTCTCCCATGTCAAAGCAATGATAACCAATCCGGTCAGTTGGGTGGGCATTAATTAGAAGCAACATTTGATGTATGGGCATTAATTAGAAACAAAATTGATGTGTGGGCATTAATTGGAACAAAACACTTGCATTAAGATAATGGTTGCGTATTATAGGGCGTGGTCCCACATGAGAGTACGACAGAGGAGGAGATCAGTAAGAGGCGGAGTGAAGGGGAGGAAGTCCGTTACTGCAAGAAGTGTCGTAGCGTAAAGCCTGACAGAGCCCACCATTGCAGCATCTGTGAACACTGCATCCATAGGATGGATCACCACTGCCCCTGGTCAGAGATAGTCTTTTTTATTGCTTTATATTGGAATTACACCGTTCTCCTTTCTTTTTTTTAGGATTAATAATTGCGTTGGGCAGAATAATCAAAAGTTTTTTGTTCTTTTTACGGTAACGAGTGATTAATTATACAATACTTAATTCTCCTTGCTCCTTTTTCTTTAGTTTTATGTCATGATTACGTCTATTTTTGGTCTCTTTCTAACTGCCTCATTCATCTTTAGATGTGTACAGAATAATTTTGAAGGTATGAATAGTCCCTTTATTTATTTATACTATGAGACTGTGCTTGTGTGAACTAAACAGCAGCAATTTAATTGCCTTTTGGAGCTACTATCAAATTCATTAAAAATCCAATTTTGATTGAAACCTGCTCAAACTTTCTACACAACATAAGTACTTGTATAATATGCATCAGAAAAAATTCTCTCCTTTTCATTTTTGGCGAAATTTGGCTGTACTATAGTACAGGGACTTTGGCCCAATTTTGGAGCAACTTTTAAAATTAGTAAAAAATTTTAATTTGATCGGAATCGATTCAAACTTGATACATAATCATTAGAACATGTATATGTATAAGAAAAAATAATAAAAATGGAGAATTGTCTAATTCTCATTTTTGAGGAAATTTGACCAATGACCCTGTACTATATAGTACAGGGACTTTGGCTCGATTTTTGAGTAACTTTAAAAATTCATAAAAAATTCAACTTTGATTGGAATCAGTTCAAACTTTCTATACAACATAAGAACATCTATATGCATCAGAAAATATAGTAAAAATGAAGAATTCTGTCCTTGACATTTTTGGTGAAATTTGACCAATGACCCTGTACTATAGTACAAGGACTTTGGCCCGATTTTTGAGTAACTTTAAAAATTCATAAAAAAATCCAACTTTGATCAGAATCAGCTCAAACTTTCTATACAACATAAGAACATCTATATGCATCAGAAAATTTAGTAAAAATGAAGAATTCTGTCCTTGACATTTTTGGCGAAATTTGACCAATGACCCTGTACTATAGTACAGGGACTTTGGCCCGATTTTTGAGTAACTTTAAAAATTCATAAAAAATCCAATTTTGATTGGAATCAGCTCAAACTTTCTATACAACATAAGAACATCTATATGCATCAGAAAATATAGTAAAAATGAAGAATTCTCTCCTTGACATTTTTGGCAAAATTTGACCAATGACCCTGTACTATAGTACAGGGACTTTGGCCCGATTTTTGAGTAACTTTAAAAATTAATAAAAATTCCAATTTTTCAAATTGACTAGTTCAAACTTTTTGTACAGCATAGTATGTCGAAAACCTGTGGGAAACCTTGTGCTACAAGCCAAAGAAATTAAACTTTAGACTGAAGCTAAGAGGCACCCTATGAAAGGGAAAGCAGGATAGGCTCAATACTATTATTATGTTAATATTATTAATATTAATTATTAATAATAATAATTATTAATATTATTAATATTAATATCATTGTTATTATTTTTTTTTATTTTGCTACTAGGTTGTGATGCATTTCTTCCTGGACCTCTTGTCTTCATTGCCATCATATTTTGTGTCTTTGAAGGTTTCTTGTTCTCTCTTTTTACATGTATAATGTTCTGTACTCAAATACACGCCATCATCACTGATGAAACAGTAAGATATTTTACGAACAATACAATAATATTTTTAATTGATTTTTGGGGTTTTATTCAGTTAGCAGATACCATGTTTTGATTTATATGCATGCGGGCATAATTTCTCTCATTTAGTGTATTTATTTATTTATACTGAAAATAATCAAGACATGCTTTGGTATGCTGGGAATTTAGAAATGTTCAAAATACACCCGAAAGCTTTGAGTTCTCTGTTGGGAAAGAGCAAAGGAGGCCCTAGAAAAGTCCCGTGTTTTTCATGATAGCAAAGTGAAAATCTATTCCTCCCTGTATAGGTATTAGCAAGAGTAAATAATACCTAATAGTACCTAATAATACTAATAATAATAATACCTTTAGGTATTATTTACTCTTGGTATTAGTAATAATTTCATGATGCTTTGGCACCCTGTGGTATATAGCCTTAGGGTGGAAGCACTCCTTCATTTGCATATACATTATATTTGGGAAACAGAATGACGTCACAGACATGATCTAACATCCACTTGAGTTTAGGGTATGCTTCGTTGACTTTTCCTCCAAAATCCTGACAGTGTAAAGTTTTGATTCAGTTTTCTTTGATGTCTGTTTGTCTTTATGCTAATAGGCCTATACAGAGACATACAAGTGAAGATTGAATTTCTGTTTATTATTACTCACCTTGCACTCCACTCTCAGACTTTATGCCTATAATTATTGGATTCATCTAACAATGTCCTTATTATTATTCAACTTATAATGTAGGGCATTGAATCATTGAAGAAAGAAAACAGATCGAGACAAAAATGGTCGGCAGATGTTTTATATGTTTTTATTACACATAACTCTCTTGTTGTTTTAGGTCTGACAGCCTCATTGAAGTGTTTGGTTCTTCTCCTAGTTTCTCTTGGCTCTCTCCATTCGGTGAACCTCCTTACAAGACACTCCGCACTCACTTACACTCTGTACTATTAGATGTATAATTCCTCCTCTATTTATAATGTTTTTATTTAAATTTGTATTTGTTTTCCTACTTTCTTTCTCTCTCTCTCTAGCTCTTCTCCTTTCTGCTCTGCCTCTTTTTTCCTTTAAAATAATTCACATGCTCTTGAGTGGCTCTGCATATTTATTATGTGTTCCATGAGTGATTGCTGAGTTGCCTAATAATGAGCACAGCCAATCATCCATTCATGCTGTTAATGAGCATAATTGATGATAGCAAGCAATCTGAATATAGCTATAGTAGTTTAATAATTGTGAGTTTTGAATGTTACCACTTGACAATAAACAGGAAGTTGAGTTGTTAACACCTCCAGGTGTAAACAAGGTGCCAAAAAGTTGCTAACTTGTGGGCGTATGATTGCCATAATTCATAGCAAATTTCATTAATCTAATGCCCACCTCCTCCTCCACTATTGAGTGTACCATTTAACAGTATAACCGGTGAAAATGATGCAAAAAAATTAACAGATACAAAAAAATAAATTATTATTTATTTTCTTTGTAGATTGATTGAATGTCGCATTATTGATATGTTAAAGTCTTGTAGTTCTATAAATCTCAACGCTGTCTTCTGAGTCACTGCTGGACTCGTCACACTGCGATCTTCGTCTCTCGTTCGACCGAACGAGTTTGATGTTGTCTTCCCTTTCACGAGAGAGTTGGAGCTCTTGCTGTCTCCTAACCGCCTCATCTGTAAAGAAAAGATGATGAGAATTGCAACTAGTCAAAATAGTTTAATCATGATAACAATAATAATATGAAAAATGTAATTATCCGCTCTAATAAGAATAACTTGCATGTAGACACACACACAGAAACACAAAACAGACACCACAAAAACAACACAATGATGAAATTAATGACACACATAATCTCAATCAGACGCAGTGTATAAAATATCAATACCGAGAATCCTCAAGCTAGAATTCTTAGAGGTGGGCTGTTTCCTGCCCACAACACTGAAAGTACATTGGATAATTAATTAACATCAAAGGATCAAATAATTTCTTAATTATTTACAGCAGTTTCCTACTACACAGACTATATGCTATAACCTTACATACACACTGACATTAGAGACATATGAATTACATGTAGTGGGTAACCGGGTAAAAGGCAGCAGCTGTTTCCATGATAGCATTAAATAACTTTAAACTGTTTTTATGCTGTTGTCATTATTAACTGTCACTTCTCTGGCATGTAATTTAGAGCAGCTATAAAAATAGCATTCTAGCAATAAATGGCATAATTATGTATAGTTGCAATTATATAATACAACATAATAAGACTAAAATACTACTCTAAAAGATAAAGTGGCCAAAGCTAAATAAGCTGCCATACGCATATAAAAAGTCATAGAAACACAATTAATGATAATCTGCGAGTAGAATTGGGGTGGAAACCCAGTGTACATAGGTGTACCATGAAGCACTGAAGTGATACTTTCAATGTTAGGACAAGAACTAGTAGCTAGGGATTATCATTTCCTACTAACAATAATAACAATACATACCTTCCCATCTAATCACTCCATTGTAGTAAAGTGTGATACACTACTATTATAGGCAGTGAATATATACAATGAGTGGAAGGATTAATATACAGTGAGATATTGTAGGGTATCTGTTGTGTCCCCGACTGGCCACCTTATCATATGCATTTCTGCTATCTCTCTCTTTAATGATACCTTGTAATCTAATAGCTTTTAAAACGGAATGAGTAGCAACACCCATCACACATAAAACCATCCCCGAGACCTTCAGCAAGCTTAAGGACCCTTCCTCAACAAAGACTGTACTAATAGTCAATATAATGATTTCCTGCAGGAAGTAACAACAAGGACTCCATTACCACAACTACAAAGACTGACCTTGATGACACCAGATACAGAGAAAGTAAGACTTGAGGTGTGATAGACTAATAAATATTCTGACATTGCTAATAGAAATGCTAATACTCCTGCCATTAATATCAATATCAGTGTGGTGAGGAGGACAGACGGACTAGGAGCAAGTAAAAGCTTCCTTGAAATGGCAAAATGGATACCTGAAATGAGAGAGAGAGAGGGAGGGAGGGGGGAGGGATGGAGGGAGAGAGGGAGGGAGAGAGAGAGAGAGAGAGAGATAAGATTTAAGCATGTTGATGGTAGAGTGAGTTACCATCTATAAAGAAAGCAAGGGGTATCAGTGTAAGGATCATTACAGGTTGTAAATTGTAAATCATATTAACCGGATTAGACAGTCCTAAAGGGCAAGGAAGGTATGATTGATGAGATTAACAAGAGTACATGATTTAGGACACACACCATACTCTTCTTTCTGTAATGCAAGTTGAGCAGTAGACCATCTTAAACCAGTAACTATTGATGCTAAAATCACCTGATGGAGAGAGATTCACATTGTAGACACTATAATGAACATACCAATATAAATCCTTCCCATTCAAATGCAGTGGATTCATAAGTAAACATTACTAGACCAGCAAAAATTAATAAAACAACAAAAATTTGAATTAGTCTCTGCAAAAAAAGAGAGATGGAGAGAGATGGGTAAAGAGAATTTACAGTAAAAACTAAAAAAACATGTCAACAATATAAACATACTGATACACTATACAATACATACACAATATATGGACACAACCATTATAACTCACTGGTTGCTCAATCCCTATTACAATACCAAAAAACAAAATAAATACAAGTGCCGTTGACTTGGACATGGTATACCTAACAAGACAAAAACACCCAAAAATTAAAAAAATATCAAATAAAACTACCCCAAAATTATTATTAGGCAGAGTCAACAAGCCGTATAACACAAACACGACTGCATGCATACTGAAAGTACAATGAAGCAATGCTAGAGAGAGAGAGAGTGAGGAATCACCTGCATTTACTACTAGGAATGACTCTATTAGGAACTATTAGGAGTAGTAAAGCAAAGGAGTTGATATAGTGGGCTAATTAGCAGTGGTCAGTGACAACAGTGAAAATAGAATCTACTACAAAAATGAATTCTTTCCCAAACAGCCTTCAAGTAGGGAGTGTAAGGTTGTTAATAATGATATATATAGCCCATGTACTTAATTAAGTGTGGGGGAAGTAGTGCCCATGTAATGTCTTAGATTTTCCCATAAAAGATTATAATGAATTGCCTGTTGTGATGAGTGTGCATATATACGTGTATGAGTGGGTAAAACAAGAGTTTAACATCACAATAACAGCCTTCCCTCTCTCTCTCATCTTACAATGATATTGTAATATAGAGGAGACTCCAGTTTGAGAGACCAATGTCAAGAGATGTGAAGATAGCTACAAATAAGATACACATACAACACATTCACAGTCATTCATCCTTCATGATCCTTGCCCAAATATGTTCCTCGTTCTCTCTCTTTATCTCACCTACGGGACATATTGACTTAAGATAGTTCTTCCATCCAAATGTAGCCTGAGGCGACTTTCTGGCACAATAAAGAGTTCCTCTAATGGTCCAAGCCAATAGAAACTTGATGATGAGGTGTATGATGGTCATGCTGATTGGGAATGGATAATTCTGATTTGAAAGGGAAAGAGGAGACGTAGAGCCACCGTATCGGCTCGTTATCTTACCGTTAATAGCTTCTTGTTGTAGAAAGTCAGAGATATGGAGAAGAAATAGTACTGCAAAATCAACAAAACAGTCTTTGATAGCCGCCATATTGTTTCCATTTTGGTGGGCGTGGTCGCAATTAATTACATCTCATGAATATTAATTAGGATTAGAAATTTAGAATCTTTTTTAGAAAAGTAGAATACACAATGATTTAACAAAAAATTAAACTTAGACTCGGTTTGGTCAATGAAAAGGAGAGAGAGAACAAATAAATGAGAGGAAGAACAATGCACGAGAGACAGGAAAGATAAAAGAGAGAGAGAAGGGAAGGTAATGTACCTCAACATTATAATGAACACACATAATGTTAAAAAAAGCTGATTGATACAACCAAAATTGCTACCAGCTGCTTGCAAAGAACAAACAAAAAATGAGTAGGTAAGGTACGTAACAAATTAATAATACATAACACGATAATAATAATAATACTAATAATAATAATAGAGGAAACAGACAAGACACATGTAATATCATTACACTTTCATCAATTAATTGTGTATGTATGTAATATCTAATAATTAATCCATGATAGTATTAATCAGTAATAAGATTGGGCGGATTACCTGTTACCAACATAATGCATTAAAGTGTTCATGTCCTTTATCTGAGGATACTGATACAAAACGCTCCTGATCCTCTCTCTCTCCGCAGGATACAAAGAAGCTGCATGCTCGTATAATAAAGAATGGGTGTGGTCCCAGTGATGGGTGTGGTCTCTTAGATGGGAGTGGTCTCGGGGATGCGTGTATGGGTTGTTTAAAGGTGCAGTGTGTGGGCGGGGAGGGGGGGCAGAGAGGGGAACCCCATGTCCCATTATGGGTGCAGTCTGATGAGGTGTATCAATAGAATAGTATTGGGTCGTTGGAGTGTTCATCAATATATATGGCCTTAAGCCGGGCTGTGGTGGCTGTCGTAGCGAGTCAGAGGCACCAGGAGGAGGGTAGGACATCTCTCCTCGTGGCAGAACTCTCGGAGGTACAGGTTGTCTTAGGGGAGCATCGGGACGAGGGGGAGGGGGGAACCCGTACGTGGGTGAGAATGTCTCCTGTCGATGAGGTGGTACATACGAAATGAGTCTTCCCTGCATTATAGGACTATCAATACCACTGGTTCCACCACCTCCTAGTCCAATTGGAAGACTGAACTGCTTCGTTGGGCTGCTGTGCTTAACCCCATACACACCCCCGCTGGTCTTATTCTCCTGTAAAGGTGATGATGTCTCTCTACCTTCGCTTCCTTTGTTCTCCTGTCTCTCGGGGTGATAGTACCTACAGCGTGGACCAAAGTTACACTTCTCCTTATAAGGGCAGGGCTGTTTATCGCGTGGGACGGGATGCTCCACTGTTCCCTCCGATGTCTGACTCCTCCCACCTTGAAAACGAAGGAAAGTATCAAGGTGAGGTCCGTGTTTCCCGAGAGGGTCTGAAGGTATCATAAAGGAATCTCCAACAAACGTATACATAAGCAGGCGGTTCTCAATGGCCTCGGTCCACTGAGGGATTTTCTCCACTAATAGATCACGGAAATGGTCGTTGGATACAATAACTCCACCCCTTTCTGCCGCTAGCTTGACAATGAACCGATCGTCGTAGCAGACGATTTTCCGATCTCTGACCCGGCGTGAGGGGGTGTAGTGTACGAAATTTGATCTTGCGAGCTCAAAGAGGATTTCTTGATCACTGATGGGTGACTCGGGTCGTGATGGCTCCTTTCTCCATTGAGGAACAAAGACTGTAATCTCACTGTGCCCTCTCTGGAGAAAGTAGTTGACAGCTATGCTGATCCCACGGCAGGAAAAGGTTGTTCCGTTGCCATGACTAAAGGGAGGGAAGAGAAGAGGGATTACTTTTATTCGTGTTTGAATTTCATTGCAATACTTTATACTACGGTGGCCAGACATAACAAAGTTGTATGCCACAGTCCATAACATCCAACTTAATAATCATAATAATGTGTATAATAATAATGCTCTATCCCCCTGTAATGGCATACTGTATCATAATACAATAAGGGTCTCTTATTGCAAGAGGAAACAATAATTACCCACTACTACTGCTACTACATGATATACAGTACACCTACTGTTGCTGCTAATGGAGCCAAGCACTCAACAAATTGTTTGTTTTTTATTTTAATTGCTATGAAATGGAGTCAAGTGTGTGAGAGCAGAAATATGACAGCTTGAACATGGCCATCAACAACAACACACTCAGTACAGAGGTTGAGAGATAGTGGAGATATTATATGATGAACTTCTACAACTTCATTCAAATTAATCCACTTACTACAAAGTCACTATAATAATACACTACTATATAATGCATAACTGGCAAGGAAAGTGTACAAAGTATTGGAAAGTGAAACTAGTAGCTGTTACAACTGTGGGACTGTCTGGCTCCAGTCACTCTTCACCACTAAACTCTACACCTGCTGTCTCCTGGAGGGGGAGGCAGTGGAGCCTTTTCTAGTTTAAATAACCTCTTTAGCTGGTATCCCCAATAGGAAAAACAATACAGGGCAAGACTATAGATCTATTATCATCTTTATTATTACTTTAGACTTAGGATTAAGTGTCAACCTTTTCCTGTTACTTAATCTTTCCCATTAGTTTTAATTTTCCCCAATGATGAGTGATGCAAACAAGGCAGTAAGATCACTCTCTCTCTCTCTCTTTGCATGCCTTTATGTGTACAGGTGAAGCTGTTGGGAGTGTAATTTGACTACTGATAACTTTCAGCATCAATATTCTACTAATGCTATCACTAATTGGTCCCAAAAGCCACTGTATAACAATGCACCTTTAGCAGTAACTGCAGTTAGCAAGCAGTACAAGAGTGTAGTAGGTTGAGTGATGTAAACACACAAGCAAGGAAAGTGAGAAACAGAGAAAAAGGAAGAGAACATTGATGAAATGGTTGACAGAAAGGAAAGAGTAGGGAGAGAGGGGGAGAGATAAAGGAAAAGACATACACATACATGTACATGTACATGTACTACAGAGGCATAACCTACCTCATGGCAATGTTGCTTCCATCAATGACAATAGGTCTCAGGCCCTCTCGCTGGCCACTCATTGTAGTAGGAACAGGTGTTGTTTCTGGCTTGGCAGTGGAAGATGCTCCTCCAGTAGAAACAGGACGCACAATATTAATGGACACTAGCCTTGCCATTATATCGTTATCAGATGCTTCAACACCGAGTGACTTTACAACCGTCTCCACTTTATCTTGCGGATATCCTAACTCAACAAACTGTGTCACACGTTTATTATACTGCACAGAAGAGGGCGAGGGGAGTGCTGGATCACGAGAAGTTGTCGTGGGTCCTCCTCCTTTGTCTTGCAGGCGCTCCAGCAAAGCCTTCTTTAGACTATCAGTCATGTTATCAACAGTCCCTGGTTTTCTCATCAGTTCTCTCAGCTGCTCACTCAATGCAAAGACTTCTGGATCATTTGTCTCAGGGCTGTTGGCTTCTTGGATCTCAATGAGGTCTTTGAGTTTCTGCACAGCCAAGTTAACGGATCGCTCAGTTCCCTGGACGAGGATACCCTGAGATGATCTCTGGAGGACTGTCTGATAGTCTCTCTCGATTGTATCGCGGAGTTTAGAGGATCCATTGAAGAGTATATTGGCAAATTGATTCCCGCAGGGAACCACAGTGAAATACTCTGGTCTATAGGTAGCCAGTACGTATTGCTAATGGAGGAGAGAGGAGAGGTATGTAATCATAATATATAGCAAAATTGCATCCAATCATCTCCTCCCACCCAATTTTCATGCCTTTTCTTTCAATACACTTATCTTTTATCCCTCACCATCTCTTCATTCTGTTTTCAAAATAAAACCTTTTATTTTTAGTATAATTTCTTCAGGCAGCAATCTCTCCCCCAGTCACAGATAATAATAAGTACATGTAGGATCCACCCGCTTTCTCTCTCACCTGCGTCTTGTAACAAGCCTCTTCAGATCCAGATACTTTCATCCATTCATTCGCTGGTCTCCCTGCCTCACCCTCACCGTCCCCACGAGAGAGGAAGACGGGGCTGGTGTGCGGTGGGGAGAGGTGTACCCCAACGCCAAAGAGTAGCTCGAGGCGGCACTTCAAATCAAGAAGAGAGTCTCTTTCTCTCCAGACGAGTATGTCCCTGGTCACAGTGCCGTTACTAATAGAAGAAGAAGTAGTTTTTGTTGTGGTAATGGCAGACATAAAGGAGAGACTATGAGCAAGAAAGCTGCCCGTCGTCTAGAAGCATCAGTTACCAGTTGATTATAGTTGCACACACTGATCTGGAGGCTTATCAGAGTGCGTGGGCGTAAAATAAGTCCCGCAGCCACGCCTCCTTCAATATTATCATCAAGAATGCAATTTGTATTGTGTGTTATGTTTATGGTAGAATCTTGGGAATTTTAAATTAATGCATCAGAATGCAGGTACTTTAATGTCAAAGAAATGATTTGGCTTTTTAGTACTGCTTTAACCAAGTTTGAAATTGCAGCAAACTCAAATTGCTTTTATGCTTTGGACATCATGATCATTTGAATCTGATCTGTACATAGCAAGTGTGATCAAAAAAGCAAGTAGAAGGAAGCCACACCTTTAAGAGCTAAAAAAGGAAACTGGTTGTTTTTGGAAAGCGAGTGGGAGTCTACCCTCTACATCTCCCGTCATTGTTTGGGGGGAACAAGAATTACTGAGGCAGACGGTTTGTGCATCTTTCTTAATAAAAACAACCTAGACTACTAACTCAATATAATCTATGCCTATCAATAATCAAGAGCTGCTAAAGCAGGTACATTTCACCGGGGAGGCAGACTGTCAGGAGTTCCACCCACATCCTCTCAGGCCGAGCCTTTGCACTGACTGCAACAAGCTCTTTTCAAAGCACGAGCCAGGGGCCATACCTAACGACGAAGCACTCCTCCAGGTGAGTTTACTTAGTTTAGCAATTTGGCAGCAATTCTGGGCATCTGTTAACATCCTTGGAAATGTGATTTTTATTTATAAGAATGTAAACAATTACTTCCTCAATTTGTTCTTCTTTTGTTTTAAATCTGAAATTAATAATTAAGTTGAGTGCATTATAGCTTTGAATTATTTCTCCTTCTACCGTAGGCTCTTGCCCATTCAACAAAAGCAGAAAAGACTCCCGATCGCATTCTGACCACTTCAAGCGGGGGCGGACTTTATTTAGGCGGTTTTCGTGGTGTCATAAATACTCAGTTCCTACGAGAGGCCAACGTCACTCACATAGTCAATACTGCAAAGGGGCTAGAGATTTTTGGACCAAAGTATTTAGTAGGTCAATATGCATAATTATGCATATCACTCAGTGCATGCACAAAGCAATGATGATGCATGTATCTGCATAGCTTGAGTAGAGAGAACTTCCCCATATAATTTATGAGTAGACAGTGATATGTCTTATCAAAATCAAGTCTGTCCCTGGTATGCATTGGGCAGTGTTAGTCTATTGTACTACAAAGCAATTGAAAACGGACAATAGCATACCATAGACCCTGATTGGTATTCCCCTCTCACATGGTTTACAGGAAAGGTTTATACTGTGAGTGCCAATGAGATCATTTGTTATGACTGTATGATCTCATCCTCACAGACTGCAGTCCAGGAAGCCAGAGACATATTGAAAATAAATTTTTTAGAATTAAATTGGGAAGACACCGAGACATGGCTCATTCCTGACTCTGACATCAGGACACTCTGCAATTATATACAGACCGGGCTTGACATGCAAGGCCAATCTGTATTTGTTCATTGTGCACAGGTAAAGGAAGAACAATAAATCCTTACTTGTCATTGATAATCATGCAGACTATGCTATATGCTATGCATACATTCACCGCTCCCATATTGTTGTATCATTATGTGTTTTAGGGTAAATCCCGTTCCTCTACAGCTGTTGTTGCTTATGTTATGGTTGCTAAAGGCCTCTCTTTGAAGGAGTCTTTGGGACTTGTGCAGTCTTTGCACAAAATGGCAGAACCTAATCCTCACTTTATGAAACGACTGGAAGAATTTGAAAAGTCAGAGCTTCTCCAAGAGCTACGACAAGCTATTAGGATTTGATAAAGATTCTATATCTAATTGACATATTATTACATTATCATTTCCTCCTTTTCCTCTTAGCTTGTGGTGTAACAAAGCAATTAATAGTGACAAGGTTTTTATTGAGATTATAGAATAATGACATTCATAGTTCATTGTCTCCATAAAATTTGTGCACGTGCATTCACTGCATTGACAGCAATAAGATGGCGGATCCAACACAGTCCCTGTTGTATTATATTGAGGATATCCCAAAAGCTGAGCTTCACATCCACATTGAAGGCACACTGGAGCCAGAATTAATGTTTAAGCTAGCAGAGAGGAATGGTATAAAACTGGAAGGCACTGTTTCCTCTCATAAAGATAGAAGACAAACATTTAAGGTAGTCCATGCCAATGATACCATCATGTTGTTTACCATGCTATAAGTGTTGTGACCTTGCCAATTCCCACATTAATGCCATAGATTATAATATTGTTTGCAAGTTAAGTTTTTTGTTTATGATGGGTGGAGTGAGCACTTCATTTATTATATTTATATATATATCTTTATTTTAGAATCTTCAAGACTTTCTTGATCTCTATTACGAAGCATGCAGCGTTCTTAAGGAGGAGGAGGATTTCTTTGATCTGATGAATGCATATCTCCAGAAGGCAGCTCACGACAGTGTCCTGGTTGCAGAAATATTCTTTGATCCTCAGACCCACACAGAGAGAGGAGTCCCTTTTGAGACCGTGATTAATGGGCTCCATCGCGGCCTTTGTCATGGCTACCAGCACTACAACATCAAAGGTAGTCTCATACTTTGTTTTCTTCGCCACCTCTCTGAAGACGAAGCCATTAAAACTTTAAAGGAAGCCATGCCTCATCTTGACAAGATTATAGGCGTCGGCCTGGATTCGGGTGAGGTTGGTAACCCACCCGAAAAGTTTGAAAAGGTTTTCTCGATGGCAAGAGACCTTGGACTTCAAGTTGTAGCACACGCTGGAGAGGAAGGAGGCCCAGAGTATATCACTGGAGCGTTGGACTGCTTGAAAGCAAAGAGAATCGATCATGGAGTTCAATGTCTCTCAAGTGATGAGCTTGTTAGCTCACTGGTAGCTAGAAAGATACCTCTCACTGTCTGCCCTCTCTCTAATATAAAACTCCAAGTAGCAAGTCGCTACTTTAACGGTGCCAGCCCAGTCAAGCAGTTACTGGACAAAGGATTACTGGTCACCATAAACTCTGATGACCCAGCTTACTTTGGTGGGTATATTAATGCCAATTTTGTCCAGGCAGTAAAGGATTGCAAACTGACTGCCAAAGACGTCTTCAACATATGTCGAAATGCCTTCAACGCAACATTCCTTCCACTGGTAGAGAAGGAGTATTATTTGTCATGCCTGAATCGATTCAATGTTGAATCAGGGTTTGCTGCTCCGCCGAAATCAGTTGCAATATTTGGCTCACGACAGCCAGCTCCAGGGACGCCCCAGTATGAAATGGCCCGCAAGTTAGCAGGGATGTTTGCCTCTCGTGGCTATCAGGTTGCTTCAGGAGGTTACAATGGTATTATGAAGGCCGCCTCCCACGGGGCAAACGATGAAGGAGGCCTGTCTCTTGGTGTACTCTCTCCTCGGACGTTTCGATCAAGAAACCCGATTGGGAATGAGTATGTCTCTAAGACTATGCTGAGTCTTAGCTTCTCCTCAAGGACGAGCGATTTGATCGAGACTTCAGAGTATCTTATTGCTTTCCCAGGGAAGATGGGCACCTTTACCGAGATCATTGTTAGCTGGAGCCACTGGGTGGGACGATCAGAAAGGAACTATCCGGCCAAGAAGCTCTACATTTATCGAGAGCCTCTCGGTACTCTGTTTCAAGATGTGGTGAAGCGATTGGGCGTGTCTGATGCCGAGATAGAGCATGTTATCCTTTTTGATAGTCTGGATGAAGTCTTGGAAGGAGTTGAAAGGGATTTTGAGGAGAGAAAGAAGAAAGCTGTATTCTAATTTCTAACCATGCCTATAACAATGCTGATAAGCTGTGTGATTGCACTTATGATTAGCTGCAAGCTGTTTTGTTTCAAAATTTAATTTTAATATTGCACCATTGAAACATTTTCTTAAAGTGTAATTTAAAATTGAGAAATCCTTTAGAAATGCAATTCCCCGATATACAAAGACATGGATTCAAATAAGCCATGCAAGCTAGTAGTAAAAACTCAAAAACTGTGCTATAAAATTATCAAAAAATATCATAATATAAATTGAATTAAATGTGTTCAAAGTCGTCGTCATCAGAAATGTTAGGGCTACCAGCATGAGGAGGTGAAGATAAGGGCTTGTATGCACCAATGGATATCTCACCACTCATAGCCTGCTTTATAACATGGTGGACTTCTTCATCCTGCAAAAAACAATGAAGAATGACCAGTAAAGAACAGCAAAAGCATAAGATAGTTAAAGATATAGTATAATAAAATTTAGCAAGTGACCAATATTTTTCAAAACTAACAGTTGTCAAATCATCCGGTGTCTTGTCCTCATTGTTTCTATGAGAATACTGTGCTCCATATAATATCAGCTCTTTAGCTAATGAGGCATGATTCCACCTTGAAATAAATATGCATATGATGAGTGACACTTGTACTGCTGTAGTTATTCAATCCTACCTCGCTGCATTATGTAATGGAGTATCACCTCTGTCATTGAGAGCTGTTACATCAGCTCCATGCTAAGAGAGAGAGAGGGATTAGATAGCTCAGTGTGCCCCCATTCACTAACTATCAATAGCAAAGCTGCAGAGTCCATGTGCCCATTGTTGCAACAGAAATGCAATGGAGTGTTTCCTCTGACGTCACTTGGATTAACGTCGGCTCCATTTTCAAGCAACTTCATGACAACCTACAGGAACAGAACTAGAATTCTTCCAGAACTCCATGTAAAAGTGATATTTTCATTTGAAGCATTATTTCAGTTTTTTGAATAGCAATAACTCAAAAAATATTAACAGAAACAACTCAGACTTTCTACATTGCATAAAGGTATCAATAATGTCAAGAGTATATGATGTGTTAGAGAGAGTGTCTAACCATAGTACTGTAGGCTGCTACATCACGGCGTAGAGTGTTCTGTATAGTTTACATAATCACTTTAGCACCTTCTTTACATAATTAACAAGAGTGTCCATTTTGGGTGTAGTATTTAATAAAATATTAGACGCGCCCCTTCATTGAAAAGCCTCTTGTGACCTATAACTAGGCAAGAACTATCTCCAAGTGAGCAAAGTGAGACTGAGTACTCCTCTAGGTTTAGGAAACAATCAATTTTTGCACCCCGCCCTTTAATTATTAAAGTTATCTGATCAATGGTTTTGTTATGTATTAAAACTGTAAATATGTAAATTTGTGTACTCTTGGAAATTAGCTGGATACTCATAAAACACTCTACGCCGTGATGTAGCAGCCTACAGTACTATGGTTAGACACTCTCTCTAACACATCATGTACTCTTGATAATGTGCATTAGAAAATACAAAAAACTGCTTCTCTCTATTCCTTACATCTTTATGATTGTACTGACAAGCCAAGTGTAATGGAGTCAACAGCTCATCCTTTGTTCTAGCATTCTTTGGTGCATCTCTGCTAATAAGATAGTCCACTATTGCTCTAGAGCCATTGAGTGCTGCTTTATGGAGTGGGGTATTACCATGTGAATCGCGTACATTGACATTCAAGAAAACAAGATGACCCTGGAATGAAGGGAAATTTGCACACATATACACAGACATTGATGTATCAATCAATACATTATGTGCAAACGAATTTACTTTTCTCAATTTTTGACACTTTTCACACTGACAGAGAGGATGGCATGCAGTAGCCCCTCCCCCTCCTTCAGTGGGTGTGGCCTGATTACCAAACAAATACTTGACCTTAAAAAGGTTACATAATTTATATTTAGTAGTACACATTCTCATACCATTGTGATGTCGTGATCGTGGATAGCACGAAAGAGCTTCTTTAGCTAAGCAAAGCATCATCATAGCAATAACTAAGGTAGCCAAACCTGTTTATCAGTTTCACTAGGTGCATCAGAGGAAAGGGTACTCCTCCTCCTTGCAATTGATTTTGTGGGGTTTCTTGATAGGCTGTCGCTATTCCTGAGCTTCACATCGCTGGAGGATGCCCGGCCACCATCAGTTTCCTCCTTTTCACTTGCTCTTCTTCCTCCTCCTCTCCCTCCTTCTCCTCCTCTCCCTCCACTACCAGCTGAAAAACTGGAGTGTCGATTTGACGCGAGAGATTGTAAATTTACAAAAATCTGTTAATGAATGAAGCATAGTGGTTAACATGGCAACTGAAAACAAAGAAATAGGTTTCCCACAGCAGTTTGGCATAGTGCTTCTTGTCAGTGAATTATCAAAGTTAAAAACTGCAGCAAAAATCCTAAGATAGTCTTTGGCCAAATTCCATAAAAATCACAAAAAAGGTTTTTCAATTTTTATAATTTGTGTAGAAAGTAGTGCTGGGCGATAGTAACACTACCACTATCATGATTGATAGTTACAAAACTATCATGATTTTGAATACCATCACGATATTCACTCAAGTACTTGACCTCGAATTAATAGCGATTATAATTAAAATAGAATAAGCTGTGTAGGCGTAGTTAATTGTTCAGAGGATAAAGTTATGAAGCTAACTGATTTTTTTGACAGAAAAAGCGACAATTGAACTGAATTAAAATAGCCAGTAAGTGGCAAAAGCTGTCTTTAATCACTTTTTTTGGCGCCATCTTAGTGTTAAACAAACTGTCTGACCACGTGTTTGTACAAGACTAGTGCGCATGCGTAAATCTGACCACATGTTTGTACAACTGCGCATGCGCATTAGACATAGATTTTTATAAAATTTAATTTACATTCGCAACTGATCAAGAAATAACAACATTATTCACATTCAACACATGAGCAGATTTCCTTATATATTAAAATTCAACAACTTAGCACTGACCTTTGTATTGTAAGAGGCTCTGGCAGGAGTATCATTTAGCTTGTTCCTAATATCAAACTGGGCACCATGCTCCAGTAATAAAGGCACTATAAGTCCTATAATAATAATAATAATAATAATAATAATAATGATGACAGCCATTTTGAAAGTCATATAATATTGCATGTGCCACTTACCATAGTTCCAGCGCGCTGCCAAGTGAAGAGGAGTGTCGCCGAAACTGTTTTGATGATTAACATTACACTTTTCTTTATTGAACACTAATGCCTTGACACACTAAAGACGTTGAAAGGAGAAGCGAAAGTGAGGGAGAAGGAAACCAAAAAATGGTACTACCTCTTCATGTCCATGGGAACATGCCAAGTGTAATGGCGTGTTTCCACCCCTGTCCATCTTGTTGATACTTGCTCCTTCGCTCAATAAGAAAAGCTGCAAAAAAGGGAGAGCATTGATGCAATGTATGGGAAAAATACAGTGTACAATAAACACCTCAACTATTAAAAAACCCTATACGAAAGGGCTGATTTATTGATGGCTAGGGAAAATTACACATTGAAGTAAATTTAGCAACTATTCAGGACTGCACTGGCCAGGCTTCTAAAAGTCACACATAACTACTGTACCACTAAAAGAATTAAAAAACAAGAGAAGAGAAGGAAGGAGAGAACAGTGTGGCAGCTAAAGACAGTATAGTTAAGATAAAGGAGTGTCTATAGAGGTACAAAAATCAAGATGATAAAGGAAATGCTCATATTCTTCGCAGTCTTCACTGTCAGTTGGTCTCAGGAACAAAGCAACTGTCAAGTGCTGACAGACCCAAGTGAATACACTACAACCAGTGCAGGGCTGGTCTCATTCCAAGGACAGACTCTGCCAGTTATTGGAAACACAACCAGTGGTGAACCAATAGTGTGCCCCACACAGCCACAAACATACTTCCCCTACAGCACAGCTTTCCAGATACCAGGGGCAGTCTTCCTTCCTATTTCCATCATTGCTAACCTACTGGCCATTGGGCTCTTTGAGCTGCTACGCTGTCTTGATGTGGCAAAGATAACAACTTTTGACATAACTGTTATAAACTTTCTGGTTTCAACCCTCCTCTTCAATGCCATCCTCCTCATCCATGAGACATTCTACCAACTGATATTGAATACGGTTTCCTGCGAACACATTGCATTTTTCAGTCACCTTTTCACACTGGCCATGTTCATATCGTACACTTTTGTAGGACTCGAGCTAGGAAGAGTCTCCATACAGAAAGAGCTAACAGTCAATAAGGAGAGGCTCCTTTTCTTGCTGGACTTCCTTGCCTCTTGGATACTACCATTCGTCGTTGTTGCATCGTTGGTAGGAGTTAATTTCAGCGTGTCTAACTCTGTCATGTACGGGATAAGGAAAGACGGGAAGCTCAAGTGTTGGATAAATCAAGGCGGGGTTGCAGTTGCATTCCTTGCTGCACCAATAATCCTAACACTCTTTGTTATACCGATATTCATTGGAGTGCAAGTATTAGGTACGACATTAAGGATGAAGGACAAGAAGAGCAAGAAGGGGCAGAAGGAAAGGGAGGATATGATGCCAAGACTTGCTGCGAGTTTATTTGCACTAGTCAATCAAAGAAAGAAAAAGAAGAGAGAGGCACCACGCCTGCCAATAGAAATAACCAGAAAGCAACAGATATGCTACGTCTTGATTTATCTGGTAGGCTATGTGGCTCAGATCCTCAAAGCTATTGGCATACTAGTGGTCACATTCACTGACATTAATTCCACTCACATAATCATCACTGGGCAGCTCCTTGATGCAGTACTCATACTGGCCTTTGCATTAGCAGGCAAGAGCATTCGGTTGTCACTCAAGGACCTCTTCAAATCAAAAGTTCCGAAAAAGATTAAGAAAAAGAAAAGGAGAGAGAGCTCAAGCAGTAGCTCCTCCTCGAGCAGCAGCTCTGAAGATAACAATGATAAAGTTAAACCGATGAGCAGAGGACAATCAGAATCAATAGAAATGAAAAGGACAGGAGAGCTGGACGCTAGAGCACAAGAAGGAATCACTGCCAGTAAACCATTACCACCAACAAGTAGACTAGAACAGGCACAGTTTGGGGAAAGGGAGAGACAACTACAGCAACAGCTACTAGCAAGTCTACCTGGTCTAGTACCACAAAGGGAGCAAGGAGTAATGAGCCAACAGCCTTATCTCATTCAACCAACAAGCAGTGTCCTTCAACAGCCTCTACAGGTCATAGCACAAGTTGAGCCACAGCCTCAGCAAGTAGTATCACCTGGAGTACCACAGATACTGCAATCTGTGTCACCAGTCCAACCTTATTTTATTGCCCCTTTTCCTCAAAATATAACACAGGGGCAGTTGCTTGAGCCTACACCTAGAGTTCAACAAGCTTTACCACCCAAGGCCTTTCAGCCTCAGACTCAAACCATTCAGCCTCTGACCATTCTGCCACCTATTCAGCCTCAAACCCAAACCATTCAGCCTCAGACTCAAACCATTCAGCCTCAGACTCAAACCATTCAACTGCCTCAAGCTCAGACTATTCAGTCTCAGAATATCCAGTCCATCCCTCAGACTGCTCAGCTCCAGCTTCAGACCATAGAAACCCAAATCCAGCCACAAACAAGTGAGGCAGTCATTCAACTCCAGGCTCAGGATATTCAGCCACAAGCTCCTGTCAGAAGTCAAAGCATTGATGAGTTGCAAAGTGAAAGTCTTCAGGGCTCAAAGTCCATTGAAACTCAGCCTCAGCCTCAAACAGCAACTGAAGAGCCAAATCCAACACCTTCAGTTCCACCTACTTCTCTCAATACCACCACAGGCCCAAAGCTACCCAACCCTGATATGGAGCCAGCCCCAGCACCTCCTAAACTAGACTTCCCTCCAATAACAAAAGAGCCTTTAATACAAAATCCATTTGGAACTCCACTAACTGAGCTGTCACGTGATGCAGGGATAGTTTCTAAAGGCGGAAAACCAATTACCAAAGCTTCTCCTGCAAGATCTTCTTCCCTCACAAACTTGACAATTTAAAAACTTAACAATTTAACTTAACAATTTAAAGATAGGCTCCTACATGTACATGCATACACCACGCATACATGTAATAATAATTTCATTTACATAATAGTACTTTTAAAAATACTTACAACACATTTCTGGTTGCCGTGCAAACATGCCAGGTGAAGAGGGGTGTGGTGGTTAATATCAACAGCATCAATGTCACTTTTAAGCTCCAACAGTCTCTGTATGATGATTGCCTGCCCTGCATTCAATCAAAGACCAATGATTAATACTAATTGGTAGGGGTTTACCCATAAGAGCTGCATAATGGAGGCCTGTTCTTTTTAAAGAGTCGCGCGAATAAATGCTAACACGGGCAGGGTCGTCGTGGTAACTACACAAACACAGATTGTGACATTATTCCTCAATATTTAAAGCCTTCATTCTTATTCTCCATACACTCCCTCTCTTCCTCTCACTTTGATACAATAGGGGCACACTTTTCGCAGTGACAAAGAGGGTGACAAAGACTCATGGAAATATCGTCCGGTAGTTTTAAAAGCTTTTCAACACTCTCCACGTCCTCTCTCGCCACACTATCAAAGAAAGAGCGCAGCCTCGTCACTGTTAGAGTCTCAGTCTCACAGTAGAACCTTGCACGATTAATAGATATGCTATTCTGAAAGGAAATAAATATCATTATAATTATAAAGTGCTCCATGCGATTACTTCTAGTGATTTGGTTGTGATGTATTCAACAGCTGCTTCAAAAGATGTCAAGTAATATCTGGAGGGAGTAGTTCTAAAAAGATTTATTAATAATATCAGCAACATACAGGATCTCTTCGCTCCCGACGTTTGAAAAATGAAACTGCTGAATGTAGAACAAGTTCACCTTCCTTGAAAGAATGAGTGAGGGGTGGGGCATAAATTTGTAAAAAATTAAATTTACTAACCAGTTTGGTATTTCAGACTTAAGTACTAAATATACCAGAATAGGGAGAAGTTCATCAGCAGTGAGTCCTAAAGTAAGGTAATGAAGTTACGTGTATATGTAATATCATGTGAAGTTCTCGTGTTAATTTATCCATTCACTGACCTTTGGCAGTACTACCAGCACCGAGAGAGCTCACTGTCTGTTTAAAACAACGAGTCTTTTCAAAAGGACTAGAGCACTAGAGAGATAAATTAATAATTAAAAACAACACTCCTCCTAAAGGCTCCTATTTTCCTTTCTTTTTTACAATTAATTAATAGCAACGATATCATTTATAGCTAATTACTTTGTTAAGACTTAGAAGATGCTCTCTGGCCTTTGACAACCCAGGACTGCATAATGATAAATATACAGAAGTAGAAGAAAATTTAAAGCAACAAGACCACTACAGGCTCATACCTGTACTCTTGTCTTATGCCTAGGTCTGCAAAATGGACATCGCATGCTTTCCTAGTGTATTTATTAATATCTGAATCCTATTATAAAGAAGTGGGGAGTAGGTCATTATCATAATGGTACTACTACTAACTCCTAATTCAGTTCTGCAGAGGAGTCTAAAAAGCTGCGAGTGAATCTTATTCAAAATATAAGTCTGTCGGAATAGAAAATGACAATAATAGATTGTGATTGATCTTACTTCTGTGGCCAATGCAAAGAAGTTCTTGCCAGAGCCACTGTGAAGCTTTCTCTGTTACAAAGTAAGATAAGAAGAGGGACATTACAGTGGCTTACAATGTGGGGAAGCTTAGATATTTCAGCTAATGCTGTCTCATATATTTCAAAAGCTATGTCCTAGACAATACAATCAACTCCAAGACATTCTTTGATAATCATACGTACTTTAATTTGGTCAGGAGTTGAGTCAATTTTTACAGTTAGGCTACTCAGATAGCTGTCAACTGTTTTCTTTACTTTTTCACAGGCTAGGGGAATGCAAATAAATAAAAATTAAAGAGGAGAAAAAAAGAAGAATACCTGGGTCATTATGATTCCAAAGAAAGTCGTGACAATCGCTAAGAGTTTCTAATGAAGCAACCATCATTGGCTGCTCTTCAGGTCCTATAGAGATAAGAGAGACAGTAAACAGACATTATGTCATCTGTGAGTTTAATGTACGTGCCTCCTTCCAGCTGTTTGTCAATGCACAGTACTTGGTAGCTCTGGTCTTTTGAATTGAAAAAACTTTCATCAAATAGAATCTTGACCTAAAAATAAAGGATAGCATATGCCAAAAGGACAATAGCAAAAAAACATTGATCCAAAATTTGGCCAACTCTGTAAAAATGGCTAAGAGAAAATTCTCCATTTATAATTTTTTTCTTATACATTATACCTGCTCTAATGTTCTATATCGAGTTTGAATTGATTCTGATCAAATTCAGAATTTTTATGAATATTTGCAGAATCTTTGGTATAGCATAGCATAAGGAGATCGGATTATGCAAATAAAAACATTTTATAGCTGCAGTATTTTTGGTAATAGTTGCTATTAGTCTGTGGCCTCAAGTTAGTAGCATAATAATAATAATGTTCTTTAGACAATGAAAATGAAAATAAGATTGGTACATACCCTCCTCTCCTCTTTAAATCCACAACCAGTTACTATATATTCACCTTGGATTGATAAATACTACAAAAGAATATATATTAGGATGCATTAAGAGCTAAAAAATAGATATTACAATAATTTATAACTCAAAATTACATGTTGCATTTTTTCATTTATTTAGCCACGCCCACTGACCTTTCCATTTAAAGTCACAAAAGCCATGGACTGGTCTTTGCTTTTGCTGTCTTCTTCGTCAGGTACCTCCAGCTCTTTCTCGGGTAGCAGTATGTGCGTTTCTACGTCTTGCTTGTAGATCTTGGAACGCAAAACAGTCTCAAAACGAGGAACGCATATCTAAACAAGCAAATTTAGAGGTTAAAAGGCATAAGCGAGAGGTATTACCATCCAGCACTTTTCAGACGCAAGGTCAAAGAGATCTGGAAACTTTTCTGAGAGAGTTATAAAGAAAGGATTATCATGAAGGTCCTCGTCGTATTTCGCCATGTTTTTCTTATTAAACTCCACCTACAGAAACGCCTTTTAAAAATTTTAACCCTTTTGTTTTAACCTACGCCTATTTCAATATTCTTGACTTTGACTGAGTTAATAGAACTAATACGGATCAGCATGGTGTCATCAGGTAGAGTGATGATTGGTGCAATGACAGAAAAGGTCTCTTTCTCTCGAGCTCTCTCTTCATCTCCAGCTCCTCTCATGTCCTCAGGCTACAAGTTACTCTTCCCAGGTCAGGGCAGCCAGTACGTCGGCATGACCAGTAGCCTTCCCTCCCCTCTCCCTCCATCAATCAAAGACCTCTTTCTGAAATCATCCGATGTCCTTGGCTACGATTTGAGGAAATACTGCCTTCGTGGGCCTCAGGAAGTTCTCAGTAGAACCATTTACTGTCAGCCTGCTGTTGTTGTTGGGTCCCTAGCTGCTTACCGGATGCTTGACGAACAAGTTAATCAAATTAAAATATGCTCTAGCCCTGACATTGTATTTTATTAATTTTCAGATTAGAAATGAAGTTGCGGGAATGGCTGGTTTCTCTGTTGGTGAGATTACTGCTCTGATAGCAGCCGAATCGATATCACTAGAGCAAGGTATATTAAAATTTGAAATAGCTTTGTCATTAAAATTTAATGATTTCAACAACAAAATTTAATGATTTCAACAACAAAATTTGAAAATATCTCTAGTTATAGTAGAGAGAATCAATTTGGGCAATGACTCAGTTGTGGTGTCTTAGCACCTTTCATCCTCTTGCCCCTTATTCCCTTATGTACATACTAGCATAAGGATCATATTTCACTGCTAATGTAATTCACAATAGGACTATTATTGGTTAGAGAGAGAGCTAGGGCTATGAATGATGCCTGCTTGGAGAGACCCAGTGGTATGCTCACGATAATCGGTCTGGAGGAAAAGGCACTGGAGGAGTGTGTCCTTTCTGCTTCTTCACAAACAAAAGAGCCGCTATCAATTGCAGGCCATTTATTCCAGCTTGGTTACACAGTGGGAGGTACAATGGAATCACTGAAAGCACTCAAATCACTCGCAGTCAGTAAAGGAGCAATGTCTATTAAAAGCATTGATGTATCTGGTGCTTTTCACTCTCCTCTCATGCATAGTGCAGTGGAGAAGGTGGAAGAGATATTAGATACCATTGACATCTCTCTCCCTTCGGTACCTGTCTACTCAAACTTGAGTGGTGATCAGTATGGGAGTATTAGTGAGATAAAGCATGGACTTTCGTGGCATTTGGTTGAGCCTGTCCTCTGGCATCAGACCATGAATCAGATGATTACCATCTCTGGTGAAGAAGGCTTCATAGAAGTTGGGCCAGGAAGACAACTGAAAGCTGTTTTAAGAAAAATCAACAAAACTGCATTTAATAACTGCACCAATGTTGATGTATGATGAACCATTAATTAACATATAATTTTATTCACTGTATGCATAAATAATTAAATTAATTTACTATAACGATATTCACAATCATCACATGATTGACTCCCTAAATTAATTATGCCCTTTTAAGGAATAAGCATATGAAGTCATGAGTAAGCTAGTGCAAGAATACTGCCAGGATTTTGATAGGTGCTAATGTTAAAATTATACTAATAGCAAAAAGCATAATAATAAATAAATACTATATATAAAATAATAATAAATGACAATTTTCGTGCAATTGCATCTAAAATAAGGTGGGATTTGTTTCTAAGGGCAAGAACAAAACACTTTTAGAGTTAAGAGAAATAACACAATACAGCTATAGCAGTTTATAGTTGGTTAGTATGCTAATTTCTTATGGCGACACTTCTTGAAATATCTGCACACGAGAATTTCCAAAATCCAACACAGCAATGCGTCCATCTGGCAGGACAGTGACACTAGTTGGACGATCGAATTGTCCACGGGCTCTTCCTCCAGAGCCAAATTTTGTGAGATATTGTCCACACGGGCTCATGATAACGATCCTGTTGTTTTTGGTGTCTACTACAACAAAGTTGTCCCTATGATCGATAGCAATCCCTTGGGGGCGTGTGAACTGGGCATTACCACTACCATGACTCCCAAGGATACGAGCTTGGGTACCGTTAGGCTCAATGACTAGCAAATGATGCACATTAAAATCAGACACAGCTATGTGTCCCTCGTTGGTCATGACAATCCCGCGAGGAGAGTCAAAGTGGCCACAGAGGTAACCCTTGTAGCCAAACTTTCCCAAGAGTGAGCCATCAGAAGTGAACATAAGAATCCTATGGTTTCCAGTATCAGTGACAACTATACGCCCATCTGTCTGATGAACAGCTACGTCGTACGGATATATCATTTGACCATCATTGCTTCCTCTTGATCCAAAGTGGTGCATCAATTTCCCATTGAGCTGGAACTTTTGTATACGATGGTTGTCCTTATCAGCTACAACAATGTCACCCTCTTTTGTTACAGCAACTCCTGCTGGACGGTTAAACTGCCCCGGATGAGACCCCTCTGATCCAAAGGCATGACTAAATGCACCTTTTGAGTCAAAGACCTGTATTCTATGATTACTCCTGTCACCAATGATAATATTACCTTTATGGTCTGCACAGATACCCCACGGTCGACAGAGTTCACCTGGCTTAGAGCCTTCACTACCAAATACTACACTCACTACAAAATGATTATACTCTCTTCTACCATCGACTAAGAGCTGGAATGGGCTGCCTTGAATGTGGTGACCACGAATGGTGATTGATAGGTACTGATCGCCGCAGGACTGGGGCTTAAAGCTAAGCAAGTAAGTCCCATCTTTGTTATCTCTCACCGTCACTCCTCCTCCGGTTTTTTGACTTAGACTAGCAACCAGTGTTTCTCCTCCTTCAGTGCAAGGCTCTCCCAGTCTGTCCTTTGTAAACACAGTGACAGTCACTGGCTTATTGACTCGTGGGTGCAGCAATCCTTCACCAGATGCACTGCAGAGTGGAGGATAAGGGGCAGTCGTGAGCTTACAAAAATCATTGATGGCTGTTTGAATGCTTGACTGGTTCTGCATTGCTAACAAGCTTTCATCTTCAATCGTGTGCTGCTTTGGATTGCTAGCAATCCTCTCCAGCTCCTTCCCTAATTTACAATGAGTCATTACCAAGGCTGCAAGCTGCTCTTTCTCTTTAGCTTCCTTCATCTGACTGCTTAGCTCAGATAAACTCCTGATATCCAGACTTATCTTATCCTTTTCTTTGTCTAGAGAGCCCAGCCTTGTAGTTGTTATTGTCTCAATGCGAGCTAAAATCTCAAGCTCTCTCTTTCTTATTGCTTCGTGCAACTGATGAAAGATCTGATGGATGCTTGAGCTCATCTCGTTTTTCTTTCTCAAGATGTCAGCACGAGCTCTTTCAAAGTTTTGAGAGGATTGCTTGAGTGCTGATAACTGCTGTGGAACCGCCAAGGCAAGCTCATCCATTGATGGCTGCATCTTTTGAAAAGACTGAGCAATGGGAGCATATTGGTGACTCTTGTGATCTTCATCAATGCACTTGTAGCAAATGGTAGCGAGACAGGGCCTACAGAAATAAAGGAGTGGCTCACCCAAGTGCTGAAGACAAGTATCAGAAGGAGTAAGGGATTTAGATGGAGGAGGAGAGATGGGAGACATTTCCTTGTAGGGAAAAGAAGGATGCGTTTTCACGATATGGTGGTCTTTTTGATGGTGAGGGGTACAATAAAGGCATAAGTGCTCCTTGCAGTCGAGACAGAATAAAAGTGGTGGCTCCGCTTGACTGCAATGACGGCAGATTGGTGAAGTCTCCTCTCTGAGGATATCGTCAACAACACCCATCATACTACTCATCATGAAACTATCACTCGGCAGCTCAGAGGGGGACGTGATAGAGGAGGAGGAAGAGCCAGAGGATGAAAGAGAGGAGTTGCTCCTCTTGCTGCTTTGGAGATGATGTTGGTGAGAGGGAGGAGAGAGGAGGGAGGGTGGACGATAGAAGCAGTTAGGACAGGCTGCAGTGATGGCTTGGTTGAAAGGAAGAAAGCAAAGAGGGCAGAGAGAGGGAGGAGGAGGAGGATGGGGAGGCAAGGAAGAATTATAGCCATAGGATGATGGCCTCAAGTGTCTTTGATCAGATGGTGTTTTAGAGAGGAGGCCCACATAAGCCATCACTGCTGAGAACTGCACAAATGAATAGGAGAAAGGGAAATAAAGACAGAGAAAGGATACAACAATATCTTACATTGTATTATATAAGTTAACAGCAGCTAGATCTAGGGTCTGTAAGAGCACTGCAGAAAGGCCTATTGTCCTGTTAGTGCTGCTGCTCCTCCTGCAGCATTATCTTAGCCCCTTTCTTGACTCTTATGACTTTATCAGAACACGCACACACTTTTTAATTAGTGTGACCACACAAAGTGCATCGTGAGAGGTGTATACACAACACAAGTGTCTTGATTAACGTTCCAACACTTTATATAAGGAATTGTACTACTCAATGAATACAATTAGCACCACTGATAGAGAATGGTCACCACTGGCATACAGACTGCTTCCCCAAGGTGAAAATGAACAAATCATTTATTATTGAGATTTTTCTAAATTATTCTTCAACAACTTGGTCCTTGTGTCACACGCTGTTTAGCAAAGTTAGCTAGTGGCAGCCAAATAGAGCCTCAAATCAAATTCAATTACCAAGACTGATAACTAACTACTAGTAATGATAGCTTTGTAAGGCAAATATTCATAATAAATAAACAAAGGGAACTGATGAATGAACGGCTTATCTACAAGATGAACTAGATATATAATTAATAACATAACAAATAACAATTTAATACTGATTATATAATTATTTGTAACAACTGCCATGACTAGTCATTAGCTAATTCAGGAAGCTGCTGTGGTACAAGAGATGTGAAAAAAGATGTTATGAGTGTCACAAGAGTACCAAAGAACCCTCTTCTCTCTTCCTCAGGAGGAGGAGCCTATAATGAACAATAATTATAGGAATTAAATGCAGTAGAAGCCTCATTAATGAGCCTTAATAATGACCTATCATGATCATACCTCAGGTACATTATCTTATTACACAATATAACTAAGCTTGGAGGTACATTATCACTAGATTACACAATATATAACACTATTTAATGTTGCGCAATATCAATGTAAGGCGCCTTAATTGTTTTTGGAGTATTACCACACACACACACACACACTGTGACACACACACACACACACACACACACTGCGACACACACACACACACACACTGCAACACACACACACACACCTCTTGCTGTTCTTGAGGTGGGTCTCCTCTATCATTATCATCAACTGGTGCTTCATTATCTTCCCTTCTGGGAGGATCCGGCTGTACAGGAGAAGGAGGAGGAGGAGGGGGAGGATTCTGGTTTACTAAAAAAGAATAATAAATAATACAAATGCAATAATAAATAATAATAATAATAACAGCTAATAGAGATAACACAATACAACAATACTTATTTTAAAATGCTACTCTCTCTTTCTCTCTCATCAACTCACATTGTCTTCTTTGTAGTCTGAACCAGCCACCCTGATTCCTAATAAGGTCAAAGAACAATAGACCAACATGACAATAATCAGCATATCATCAAACCTACATTAATATTAGGGCCACACCCACACCAAATATAGCAAACTGGTATATGGAACCAGAGAGGTATCCCATAGTACCAAGGAAAAACAGCATCAATAGCATGTAGGCATAATCCACGAGATCCCTCCTCTGCCTGTTGTCAGCCATCAGCCCACCCATCATTCCGCCACCAGCGTTCATAGCTATGTCATCATTATCTTGATCAGCCTCTGGTTCGGGCGGAGCCGGAGCCACGCCTCCTGCCCCGCCCACAGGATTGTCCGGGTTGGGATGTTGATGAGTCTGGGGTGGGATTTGCCTAAAAAAAGTGATGGGATAGGGTTGTAATAATGTGTTTATTTATGCTCTAAGGAAAAGGTATACATAGACTCGGAATAATAACTTTGCTTTTATTACAAAGTAACAGCTTTTTATTAAATAAACAATGTTGAAAGAAACGCCAACACACGTAGACGTTGTACAAATGTTAGATACAAAAAACATCATGTAATAGTAAAGATTACATGATATTAGCAATGTATAGTAAGAATTATAGTAGGAGTTCAACCAAGGGAGCCACCTAATCAAATAAATCAAAGTCAAGGGAAAGAGATCCCCATCCCCAATAAGCTTTGTTACAGTACAGCAGGAGTCCATCTTTATTGCATCTTCTGATACATATATACATGATCTTAGGTTGTGTAGAAAGTTTGAGCTGTTTCTAATCAAATTTGAATTTTTAATGAATTTTTAAAGTTGCTCAAAATCAGCCTGTACTAGAGGACTATGGCCAAATTCCACCAAAAATGAAAAGGAGAAAATTCACTATTTTTATGATTTTAAAAAAATACATACATTGTATACATTGTACATGTTCTCATGTTATGTAAAAAGTAGCTAATTCCAATCATATTTGGATTTTTTATGAATTTTAAAATTACTAAAAAATCAGGCCAAAGTACCTGTACTACAGTACAGGGCCCTACTTTGGTCAAATTTCGGCAAAAATGAATAGGGGAAATTTATTATTTTAATAATTTTTTCTAATGCATATACATGTTCTTATATTGTGTAGAAAGTTTGAGCTGATTCCTATCAATATTGGATTTTTTACGAATTTTTAAAGTTGCTCAAAAATAGGACCAAAGTCCCTGTACTATTATAGTACAGGGTCATGAGCCAAATTTTGGCAAAAATGACTAGGAGAAAATTCTCCATTTTTATAATTTTTTCTAATGCATATACATGTTCTTATATTGTGTAGAAAGTTTGAGCTCATTCCTATCAATATTGGATTTTTTTACAAATTTTTAAAGTTGCTCAAAAATAGGACCAAAGTCCCTGTACTATAGTACAGGGTCAAGAGCCAAATTTCGGCAAAAATGACTAGAAGAGAATTCTCCATTTTTATAATTTTTTCTAATGCATATACATGTTCTTATGTTGTGTAGAAAGTTTGAGCTCATTCCTATCAATATTGGATTTTTTTTTACAAATTTTTAAAGTTGCTCAAAAATAGGACCAAAGTCCCTGTACTATAGTACAGGGTCACGAGCCAAATTTCGGCAAAAATGACTAGGAGAGAATTCTCCATTTTTATAATTTTTTCTAATGCATATACATGTTCTTATGTTGTGTAGAAAGTTTGAGCTCATTCCAATCAAAATTGAATTTTTTATGAATTTTTAAAGTTGCTCAAAAATTTGTGTCTGTAGTGTATACATGCAGAGTATTCCATAGAAGAGAACTCTCCATTTCAATTACACATATAGTACATGAAATGAATACAGGAGCTTACCAGTTAGGATTGTTATACATCATCTGGTACCACTGAGTCATCTGAGCAGCATAGTAAGGGGACATCATATAGGGGTGGGGCCAGCCCTGAGGGAACTGAGGAGGGACTGGGGCACCGTATCCAGGTATCGTCCTAATTATTGACAGGAAGACAAATTGGATGATTAGGAAAGAATCTCAAACATTGTTGATGTGATGAGAAATAACTTGGCAATATCAATAGCTGCACCATGTGATTGTGATACTGTTATTTTAACTATCATGATAGTTATCATGTGTACATGGAGCATGCACATAAATGACACTTGACAGCTGTAATCATCTTCTAATTAATGGCAAATTCTACAGCTAGAGTGGTATGACTAATGACTTATTATAGCACAGCTTGCTTCAAGGTTTTTCACTGTGACCCTGCTATAAACATCACCAGCATGTGAACGTGTATTCAGTATAGCAGGACAGTGTTTCTCGTTGAAAATTTGGATTAAATAAATTAACTAGTACAGGTATACTGTGATTTTACAAATTAATAAATGCATTGGTTAAGTACAATCATGACTACATTCTTAAATAAATCATTGTATTTCCACGTGTAAACCCAATGGCTAAACTATCATGATATGTTCACTATCCTGATATTAGAGTTACTAAATATCGTGACAGAGATATTACTGCTATCACTCAGGCCTACAATATACATTATACATACATTAAGCAAAATTAGTACTGGCATTACAATCAAAATTAATGTTACTCTGACATAATTACATAATTATAACTTACGTAGTATGTCTCTGATGAGTACTACTAGTACTCTCTCCACTACCGGTATTATTATTATTGACCTATTGGTATGACAACAATAAATACAACTAACACTATTAGTTCTATAGACCTGTTCTCCATTACTGGTAGCAGATGGAGTGGCTACTGGTCGAGGCCTTGCCCTCTCTCTCACCTATAACACGTCAAACGATCACGAGAATAATTATTATCACGTGACATGGTGCATGTACACGTACATGTATAATGTACTTACGACTGGTTGAGGAGGAGCACTGTGGCTATTAGTGACAGGGAGAGAGTTTGATCTTGATGGAGATACGACCAGGTGTAGCGTTATACCAGACGAGGACTCCTTTGTAAGAAAAAAAGAAAAAGAATATTATGACTATGATTCTCTTTGGGCGGAGCTCAATTAGCAATAAGTGTGAACAAAGGTGCGATTATTAATACCAGGTCAGTGATGGGGGTTTCATCAGGAACAATCCTCCCACTGTGGATCAGCTTCTGACTCCTAACAGGCTAAAGAAGAAAAAAGACACGATAAACATGTTAATGTCGGTCGGTTTACATGTATATATATATAGATAGAAATATTATGAGTTACCGGGTGAGACGGATGGATATTGGATAGATGGACCTTCAGATCAAACAAGCACCACTTCCTCTCACACTCGATGCTCAAATCTTCCACAGAGCCATTCGCAGTCTTCACTAGTACAGACACATTCCTTTGGTTACCATTGGTCGCCATTGTTAATAATGTAGACAATTAAATGAATTAATTATTAATTGAGCCACGCCCTTAAATTGATGGACCACGCCCACTCGTTGATGTGTTATGCTTTCATTGGCTGGAGGATAATCATGCTAATTGACAATAATTTTAAATTAAGTCTACAATTTCTCATTATTGCTGTCATTGAAAATTGACTTAATTTTCTGTTTCAAGGAAAGCATTATAATCTTCAGGAGACATCAACTTATTATACTCGCCGTCAGAAGGCACTTTCAACTTAACAATCCAACCTAAAAAGTTTTTAAAAATATGAACAAAAACTGCGTTATACCAGTCACCTTCATTATAAGGGCTTCCATTGACAAGACTTGGTGATTCGGTCAATGACCCGTTGATCTCAGTCACTTCTCCTCCAACAGGAGCATACAGATCAGCAGCAGCTTTAACACTCTCAACTGTCCCAAATACATCTATAATGATAATTATCATCATCATACTATTGCTCTTTTAGCTTCTAATAATTACTTCTTTCTAATATTGTACTGTAGGTGCTGAAACTAATAATCATGGCTAAAATCTAAGTTGACTCAGCATACCACATAGCTGGAAGTATTACTTGAGGAATTATAATTTTCCAATTTGATGCCAATAAAGTGTATGCAGAATTTAATTTCAATGGTATAGGTGTGAGCTATTGCTATACCTATTGGCTATTAATGCTTTGCAGAATTAAATTGCACATTTTAAAAATAATTAACAGCAAACCTCAAAATTAAAACTCCAGTGGCTATACGATGGCAATGCATCAGACTATGTAGTATAAATTGAGATATTTGGAAATTATTATTATTAATTTTTCAGAAAACCTTATACATCATGCAATCTTATAAAATGAATTATGCTACTGTTTGCTAAAAGAGAGGCCTATACTATCAGCGTGTACGTTATGTTCACAGATGGAGTTACCACAAGCATGCATACCTCCTTGATTAAAGCTTGTTCCAACATCCGGCATATCAACGTAAACAGCTTCCCCAAGTGAATCCTGGGCGTGGTCAGAGATTCCAACAGTCGCCACGTCTCCTTCTAAGGATACCCATTCGTGAGATTTAGTGAAACGATAGTTTGAAGCTGCAAAATAAGAATGATGAATAGTCATTGCTATCATTGTCACACATTATATACATGTTATAATAACTATGTATATATACTACACTCACATGGGGCACTGCTAGAGTAGAGTCTGCTCCTTTGCAATGAAACGAGACTCGGGGCTGCTTTCGTACTAATGGAGGGTACCAGGCGAGAAGAGGCAGTTGCCAGTAGATGATAAGAAACAAATCTAACCGCGCAAGACACAGCCATGAGGGTAATGGGAAAAGTTTAGGAAAAAAAAGAGAAAAATAATTAGACACGCCCATTTGGAGCCACTCCTTTTGACTAGGCCTAGCTAGTTAATTAATTTGCTGTTAAAAGTGTTTATTTATGCTGCGTGTACTTTTTCTCACCAGTAAAGAAGGATCTCCAGATTTGTCATCTAGGGCTCTTCCTATGGCATTTCTCCGAAAACTGGTAAAAGGTGGTGATAGAAAAGAACCTGTTGAGTCTATGGATAAGAACACTACAACAACGGATCCCCTCCAGGACGTGACAAGCAAGACTGCTGACCTTACCATTGCTGATGATGTCAAACACGGTGTGGCTACCTTTGCCCTGAGCTGATTCTGGTTCCCCGAGGCACAGTTCGGCTGTGCCCCGGGTGTACTCCGTACAAAGGTTGGGTTTACCGGGGGAAAGAAGAAAGGGCCTACATATTACAGCCTGTAAGATCATAAATAATCCTTAATGTGTGTATAACTACACTTTTGTCTCTCTTATATTATAGTGGTGATCACACAGAGACTATAGAAATACACTATGATCCAGACGTTACCAGTTACACTGATCTACTGAAGCTGTTCTGGGAGAATCACGATCCAACTCGCTGTGCATCTCGCCAGTACATGTCCGCCATTTTCTATCACAGCGACGAGCAGAAGACTCAAGCTGAAGAGTCCAAGGAGCAAGAGCAGTCAAAGCGTAGCAAGAAAATACAGACAAAGATTGCTCAAGCTGAAACATTCTACAATGCTGAAGAGTGAGTGAATACAATTCAGTGGTGTGTAGTTATTATTTGAAATAAAATAGACAATAAATAATCTGATTTAAATGTCTTGTTTACAAGACTAAATTTTACTCCAGCTGTTTACACTATCCAACAGCTGTATTTCCATTGGTATTTGATCTGTTTTGGTATTTGTTTGGATTTTGTATCCATTTCAATTAAAAGCATAGTCATTATAGCTAGGATGTCACATGAATTACTATTGCTACTACTCATTTCCTCAATCCTCCTTTTAAGGCTGTTTATTTAAACCTATTAATTCTTATAATGGATTGCATTATTATAATTGTGACCTCTTATTTTATTTTTGCTGCAGTTACCATCAAAAATATCTGCTACGCCAGCAAAGAGACATACTCCAAGCCCTAAACCTCACTGATGAGGAGCTCATCAAATCTCACATTGCATGTCGTCTCAATGGCTACTGTGGAGGATATGGGAAGATGGACGAGCTGGAGAAAGAGCTCTCTCTTTTTAATCTTCCTTCTCGCATACAGGATCGCCTCAGAGCCATCGTATCACGTGGAAATTTATATTAACTAAATTGTAGTAATTTGTTTTTGTCTCTGTATTATAATAGTGTATGTGTGTGTCTGTGTGGCTTTGTCACGTGACTCTCACATGATGCTGCAAGGATAAACTTGGCAACTGCCTGGTCCTTGTGGCTGATGATAGTATGAGGTCATTGTGATTTAGCGATCACAGGATTTTTAATCAATGAGTAATAATTATTATAAATATTTTTTATGAGTAGTCATTATTGAGTGCAATGCCACCGCCAGATATCTCTAGTATCTATGAGGTAAAACAGGTTTTGAAAACCAGTCAAACGATCCGTCACACTTTACCTTCTGAGGTTCCTGAAACTCTAACCAGTCAGACTGGTACGTGGGGAGCAGCCCCATACTGTGGAACTTGTAGACTGCCAATGCAATCACGGCCAGGTTACCAAACACGTAAACTGCTTTCTGGAATATAGCCTGGTCTCCAACCAGATTCTTGAATGCTATGAATGAGATAGTATCAGAGAGCATAAACAAATGGGAACATCATTCATTACCTTCTTTACAGCTTAGCAATGTCTGGACTGGCCTGAAGAACATCATGCCAACCATCATTATGGGAAAGAGAGAGACAGTATTACCAGCCATCCACATTATAAATAGATTCATAGGGAGCTGCTTCAGGGGACCTAAAGCAAGGCCCCATCCTTGCTATTGAGAAACAAAACACATATATAGATACATAATAATATATAATTATTATATGAAATACACTTACATTTTGTACTTAATCATTTTCATAAATTGCACAATTAAATTTCACAATCATAACGTACCTTTGCCACTAAATTAGAATCTTCATCTTCTGTACTCTCCTGGGGAAAGTCAAGATGGATATATATTATAGCAAATTTTATAATAATATTAAGTTACTTCATTAGTTGGCAGTTTGTGAATGTAGCCTGGAGGACTCGCTAATTCATCTGATCTTCTGTGCCTAAAATTTTTAAAAATAAATAAAAATATTTCATAAAATTTCCTTTACTTTCTTCCTTCAGTAAAATCAACAGACCACTTTCCTCTAGACGCCATGTTAATAAAGGGCGGGGTTTAAATAAATTATTGAAGATTGATGCAAACTCGCATGCAAGCACAGCGAACATTATTGCTAGAGGAAAATATAAGGAAAACACCTTTGAATAATTATAATTAGGTGCATGAACTCAGCACTACGGAAAGACTAATTTTTTCCTTCTTTCCATGCCCTATGTGCAGCGAAGGATGAATAATTATAATTAGGTGTATGAACTCAGCACTACAGAAGGACTAATTTTTTCCTTCTTTCCATGTCCTATGTGCAGTGAAGGAAAGATTATACAACTGCAGGAACAACGAGTGGAGGAAAGTATGAGGAAACAAGGAAAGGATCCTTCCAAGGCTCAGAAATTAGGGAGCATAACTTTACAAGGAAGGAAGGAAATTAAATACTGCATGCATGCATCACTCTCCTGGGTCATTACTATAAAAAGAGGGCAACTTCCACTCAGCAGTCAAGTCATTTCAACTGCAGTGATAATAATAGTAATAATAATAATTTATCAACAAGATTTTATTAACTATCAACTGTAGCAATGACTACTACAATTGTTTCTGTTGGAATATTCCTCACTTTGTTGGCCGTTGCATTTGCCCGAGCCCGTCCACTGCTGGCTGATGAATTTGATGAAAATGATAACTTCATACTCCAGCTAGCTGCTAATGGGGAAGCTACTCATCCATCTCAAGATGCTGATATCCCTCAAGTCATTCATGCACTCAACAAAACCTCCTCAAACTGGTAAAATAGTACAGTACATCTACAGCTATTTGAAATAACATTATTATTATTTCATAATAGGGCAAGAACTGGTACTCAAGGATGCACCTCTTCTAACAGGCTCTTTGGAGGACA